CCACCGTTCTTATAGAAGAGATTGATTCTACACATGGTGTACCAACAAACCTTCTCTGAGCCAGAATCACCGTTTTTATAGAAGAGATGATTCTACACATGGTGTGCCCAGAAACCTTCTCTCAGCCAGAAGCACTGTTCTTACAGAAAAAATGATTCTACTCATGGTGTACCCACCAACCTTCTCTCTGCCAGCACCTCCGTTCTTATCGAAGAGATTGATTATACACATGGTGTACCAACAAACCTCCTCTCTGCCAGAACCACTGTTGTTATTGAAGAGATTGATTCTACACATGGTGTACCCTAAAACTTTCTCTCTGCCAGAACCTCTGTTCTTATCGAAGAGATTGATTCTACACATGGTGTACCCACAAACCTTCTCTCAACCAGAACCTCCGTTATTATCGAAGAGATTGATTCTATCCATGGTGTGCCCAGAAACTTTCTCTTTGCCAGATCCTCCATTCTTAGAGAACAGATTGATTCTGCACATATGGTGTACCCAGAAACCCTCTCTCTGCCAGAACCACCATTCTTATAGAAGAGATGGATTTTACACATGGTGTATCCACAAACCTTCTCTTTGCCAGAACCACCATTCTTATAGAATAGATTGATTCTACACATGGTGCACCAACAAACCTTCTCTCTGCCAGAACCTCTGTTCTTATCGAAGAGATTGATTCTACACATGGTGTACCCACAAACCTTCTCTCAACCAGAACCTCAGTTATTATCGAAGAGATAGATTCTATCCATGGTGTGCCCAGAAACTTTCTCTCTGCCAGATCCACCATTCTTAGAGAACAGATTGATTCTGCACATATGGGGTACCCAGAAACCCTCTCTCTGCCAGAACCACCATTCTTATAGAAGAGATGGATTTTACACATGGTGTACCCACAAACCTTATCTCTGCCAGAACCACCATTCTTCGAGAAGAGTTTGATTCTACTCGTAGTGTACCCAGAAACCTTCTCTCAGCCAGAAGCACCGTTCTTACAGAAAAGATGATTCTACTCATGGTGTACCCACCAATCTTCTCTCTGCCAGAACCTCCGTTCTTATCGAAGAGATTGATTATACACATGGTGTACCAACAAACCTCCTCTCTGCCAGAACCACTGTTCTTATTGAAGAGGTTGATTCTACACATGGTGTACCCAGAAACCTTCTCTCTGCCAGAACCTCTGTTCTTATAGAAGAGATTGATTCTACCCATGGTGTACCCACAAACCACCTCTCTGCCAGAACCTCCGTTCTTATCGAAGAGATTGATTCTACACATGGTGTACCCAGAAACCTTCTCTCTGCCAGAACCACCGTTCTTATAGAAGAGATTGATTCTACACATGGTGTACCCACAAACCTTCTCTTCGTCAGAACCGGCATTCTTATAGAAGAGATTGATTCTAATATGGTGTACAAACAAACCGTCTCTGAGCCAGAACCACCGTTTTTATAGAAGAGGTGATTCTACACATGGTGTACCCACAAACCTTCTCTCAACCAGAACCTCAGTTATTATCGAAGAGATTGATTGATTCTACACATGGTGTACCCACAAACCTTCTCTCAACCAGAACCTCAGTTATTATCGAAGAGATTGATTCTATCCATGGTGTGCCCAGAAACTTTCTCTCTGCCAGATCCACCATTCTTAGAGAACAGATTGATTCTGCACAAATGGTGTACCCAGAAACCCTCTCTCTGCCAGAACCACCATTCTTATTGAAGAGATGGATTTTACACATGGTGTACCCACAAACCTTATCTCTGCCAGAACCACCATTCTTCGAGAAGAGTTTGATTCTACTCGTGGTGTACCCAGAAACTTTCTCTCTGCCAGAACCACCGTTCTTACAGAATAGATTGATTCTACACATGGTGTACCACAAACCTTCTCTCAGCCCAAACTGTCTGGTATTAAAATTTGGTCCATTTTTGACTACAGAGGGGACCAGCAACTTTGTAAGGACATGCACTGTTCGTGTACATGTGAAGTGCTCTGCTGTTAAGTTCAAGCAACCTGCTCACTGCTGTTGTGACTGGCTCCCCGTAGGCATTTGTTGTTAGGGAACTCCTCTTAGGCCAAAAAAGTTTCTGGTTTCTGGTCAGCGCACATGTCGCCGTAAACCTGCACGTAGGCAAAATAAAAAGGTTTTTTATGTAGTATTATATGTTGTCCAAAAGCTGCCAAACTTGCCTTATCGACTGGAATCCTGCTACTGTGTTATTTTTATGTGTTGTGGATGGAGTGTGGTTGAGTAATATTGTACAGTAAAGGAGTCCCTCTAGGCCCCTGTACATTCAGCCGGGCACTCTTTTTCAGATGATGGAATTTCTATATTATACATGTACATTCACATCTGGGAACCAGACAAACGAGTATATGATCTATGTATGTCCTATGTACATCTACAAGCTGGAAATGCTTTTAAACAGTAAATAGCAAGGGGGCCAGTCTATTTCAGTGTTGGTAGTGGCAGTACCTATGCAGGGTCTTACTAATATCACCACCCACCTACATGTATCATAATGGTATGGTCCCAGTTACCCCAGAGGCAACATGGCTACTAATTTCTGAGATGGATTGAAGTAGGCGATTTTGCCAAATTAAAATGGCAATTTTCCTTTTGAGGTTTAGCCAAAATATCCTTTTGGCAAATTTGCCGTGTGTTAAGTGTTAACACTTTTCGGTCGAGCCTCGCTTCTTTTGATTAATGTGTTTTGGAGGTGTTGACGGTGGGTGGACGGTCTGTTGCGTGTTGACAGTAATTAGTATGACCGCCTATGCATGCACTCGCAATTTGTGCTTTATATGTACATGTGTATCGTTTCTAGGAAAAAAGTGAGGGCCCAAAAAACAAGTGTTGCTTCACCACTTTTGGAGCCAACCCCTGGCCAGAAATTGGAGACTTTTCTCTTTAGGCCTTAACATGCATAGTTTGCAGTATTGAATAACCTCAAGGCAAACGTTGTCAGGAACAGAGACGCTCAAGCCAACGAGGGTCATGTGATATTACTTGAACCTAATGACTTTCAAGTACCGGCATGACAACAAGCACAGGTGTGTCTTTAAGACTTTGTGTTAATTTTTTTAACATCGAAATAAAGTTGACTGAATGATGGCTTTGATTGGTTTCCCATAGCAACCATGGCAGGAAGAATTTCCTTTGTGTTGCCTTGCCCAGAAACTGAAGAATAGGTGGGCATGGAGCTCATCCCTGGCTGATGATGCAGTTGACCTGAGAACAAGGCTGTGCAGGAACCACCCCAGGGGCTGCAGAGTCAGCCGCACACAGAATACTGCATGACTAGGGTCTGTCGACTGGTTCAGTGGTACGTCATTCTTTTTGTAGGTGTTTGCAGATTAGTCATGTTAGTAGAATGCCACTTTCCTAGTTTTACCCAGATGTCTGTTTTTTAAAAACAGACCTCCAAAATTCTGTTTCCTTTTTTCCCTTCTGGCTCAAAAGAAAAAATGGGAAAAGGAAACACAAATGGGAATGCATTGATTTTCACCTCTATGAATTCCAGTTCAATGACGGTCGCACACAGCATGCATGTGTACAGCTCTTTTCTTGTAGTTGCCTTAAAAACAAGGCTGCCTTCATTTGCATGATCGTCGAAATGACCAAAGATCCAGCAGCGCCATGTATATCAAGTATTGCACAGCACAGTGAACTATCTGAACACGCATCTCATGTGTGTGAGTCGATTTGTGCTTGCTGCGCTACGCTGCCCCGTGCACCTGTTGTGGGCATTTAGCGCGTGCTGAGCATGTTTATCACAGCCTTGAATTCAAGTCTATCATGTCAGTCAGTGGTTCCCAATTGCAGTGGTTGTATGAATTGGAATATTGTACATAACAAGTCGGGAACCAACTACTCCACGGTCGTGCACATGTGTTTTCGTGGTCCTTGCACTAGTTTTCTAGCCACAGTGGGCAGCACCGGGCGGCACCACCCGGTACTGCAAATTTCCACCTGACTCTCGGGTTCAAATTGGCTTATACCCGTAAATAGGGCCCGACGAATACTCCTCCGTCATATACGATGGAGGAGTTTTCTTCAGGCCCTGTTGTGGGTCTATAATTGGCTGTGCCACCCAGCACGGATTTTCCAAAACATGAACTGAAATATTACTGAAAATTCAGAGATGCCAACTTGTGTGATTTAGGTGTAATTTTTACGATTTAGTCCGTTTTAATATGACTGTACGATCCAGACTAAGATTTTCCAACTCGAAAGGTACAAAACAATTCAGTTGTGTATAAACTCTATGTAAGCTACTGGTAGCATGGAGCCTCATAATGTGCACGTCAGAAATGTGTCGCTGGCATCCTGCACTTAGTGCATACAAGAGTAGTTGTAGAAACCAGCGTGGTTGAATCATCTGTTCACCCTGATTAACGCTATGATGAACAGTTCAGGGGGCGAATAAGCACTATGATATGATTGTGTACGTCCATATGCAGCTGTACATGTACTGATATTGTACATACGTGTGTCAAACATCATGATCATGCTGAAATTGACCGATATTTGGTGACCAACTGGACTTGTTTTGCACCTTGGCAGCAAGTGAGCAAAGGACAAATACACCACAAAAATGGTCCTTTATTGCAAAGCCTTGTCCTGGAGAAGCTTATGTGTTTTGCAAGGCATGTAACTGTGACATGATAAACATTGCCCACGCTGGATCTTACAACACCGAGAAGCACATTTGTTAGGCCAAGAAAAAATAGCGTTGCTTCTGATTAAATAGGATCTGTAGGTAAGGATTTTTAAAAATAATTTTTGTGCTGATTGAATGGGACGAAGTTGCCAAAAAATGTTTCAAAAGTGATTCAAATAAAAACTTGCCAGATTTAATGTGAAAATATAATCAACAAATAATTACAATTCACACTTGCACAGTGCTAGTCAGGTAAATACAAGTGTTTTGACGTGAAAAGAAGTTGTTAACAGGGGGTCATTTTGAAAGAAAAGACGACAGGATTTTTGGAAACTGTTTTTTCTAATTTGCTGATGAAAATTCTTTGGGGTTACTCCAAAAAATTAGGGTCGGTTGGGAAACCGGAACAAGAAGTGCGATAAGATTACACTTTTTCCCTTTGAAAATTTGGCATCTCTGATTAAATGTACCAATTTGATCGTATTTGAAGCATTAAGAACTGCGCTCACTACGCTTTGCAATGCAAAAATTTACCCAGCACTAATATGGTCCTAGCTAGAACACTAAAAGGCATGGTGTGGAGTTAAAACTCTCATGATGTACGTGTGCTTCATGCAACAGATTTTGTCGAAATATGTAGAACAGTCAACTTAAAAGCCATCAAATCGAACATGAAAAGTGAGTGGAACTTGACATGGTTGTAAGGAAAGAAAACCCCTGTCGTTATGCATTCTGCTCACCGCACTCAGTCATGCACTTTGACGCTAGTTTCCAGGATTTAAAGTTTGGTTTTTTCAAGCAGACCCTGTGGCATCTCTGAATAGTACATGTTTAGTAGTGTGCACACTTTCAGCATATCAATTGCATTTATGCACAGTGATACAAGCCAAACTAGACTATACACCAGAGGTATGATGATTCATTCCGAATATGATAAAGAGCTGACATACATTGATCAAAGAAATATAAAAGGTACATGTAAATTGTCAAGTTCTTTCTTTGCCTTCCACCTCTGCAGTCTGGGTTCGATTCCCGGCTCGGTCCACATGTGGATTGGGTTTTCAGTCCCTACCCGATTCCGTTGGTTTTACCCGGAATATTCCTCTGGGGTTTTCTTCCCACCTCTAAACCTGTTAGTGCTTCTCATTGTCTCCTCTACAGGTTTCTTCATGTACAGTGCCTTGCGCATTTTTGAGGTGTCTATTACCAGAAATAGTTACAAATGAAAATAATAATAACAATTAAAGATGACCAGTCCGGTTTGCAACTCCGGGTGGAATAGGAGAGAAAATTGCTACAGAACTGAACCACTGGAATTTCATTTTAGAAGAGTTCCATACGGATTTTAGGATTTCATCTGCATTACTCTTGTATTTTATGAAATGATTGATTCTCAGATATTAAACAAGCGAAAATGAAAAGTTCAAAGAACTTGCTTCATAGTTTTATTTGAGTTAGGAAGTGAGTGGAACATCTAAAAGTTGCTTTGTCTTCAACTCATAACAGTCGCCTCGTTTTTCTTATGCTCTGTCGATACAGAGTACAAGATGTATACATGTAGGTCTACCTTGATGGAGCCAATCCAATTGGCCTCTCCAGCAACCACCCCTTTTGTGACTACCAGGATGTTAACCTCTGTGACATCAAGGAGCTCCATCCAAGTCAGTTCAAGTCAAGCCCCAGGCAAGCTTGTCTTTCTTTTATTTCTGGTTCAATATTGTTTTAACTTGTGGGAAAAAAAGAGATAAGTTACATGTACTATGATCAAAGTGACTGGAATTAATTTCTTTTTATCGCTTTTTGAACATTCACTCTAATTTCATTTTCTCAAATCTTGCATTTCGTGACCGTCTTTTCCACTCAGGACAGTGTGAAAGAGAACCATTTTATGAATCTCTCAGACTGGGGTTATTTATGTTCCCTTTCAATTTTTCTTAATTTTTTTTTTAATTTTTCTTAAGCAAGATGGCAGCATTGGTCAAAAATTAACGCTCATACGTGCATGGTCACTAAAACAAGTGAGATTGGATGCTTTAAATTTGAATGGGCAGGGGAAGCCCTGCACTAGATCACATCTTTCCCCTCACCAGTCTTCTAGCGGCAGGTACAGTATGTACATGTATGTGGGAATATGTAGTTTCACGCTTGAGAGAGCACCACCATTCTTTTTCATCTTCATTGATGCAACTGTAGTGCCACACGTAGTTCATGTACCAACCATGAATCTAATTTGTGCATCTCAGTGTCTTCTTGCTTGCTGCAGACAATGGTGACCCCTTCAGTTGGAATGTCAGGCCAAAGAACCTCCACTCCATCTGTGTGGTAAAGTCTCAAGCCATGTTTCTTACAGTTCCGATAAATTATCTGAGGAAGAAAAATCTACAGGTGTGTCGTCACTTCTTTTAGTGAGATGCCTACCTGGAGCTTACATCATCGCCAGTTTGCTATGCATGTGTTGTCAACTCTACCAGGTCATCATGGTTGAACGTTCCATCAACCAAAATCTGGTTAAAGTTGAAACGGTGTATCCCTGTCATTTGCTCTGGAACCCTTGAAGAAACAGTTTGTCAAATCTTGAAGAAGGCAGCACCATCTGTGGAATTCATGAGGGCACTGTTTTAAATCTTCAAATCTATCATAAGGAATTTCCTCAGCAGCTCCTTATTGTATGGCATCTGTCATTTGTTCAAAAGAGAGACCATCCCCAAAGCAAACCTTGGGACGTATTACCATCCTTTGTGACAAACTTTCACATCCACTCCAAGATGCTTATATACAATGTGTGGTACCAGTTGTACTAGATGACTCCTCTCCCACTAATCTAAGGTTGACGTTTTCAGTTTTACTTCAGATTCCATGTACTCTTGGGACAACATTCACAATGTGTTCACAACACGGCATCATCTAGCTTTCATGTCTCCCAGTCAGAATCACTGGGGGAAATTGGACTCAGTAGGATATTCAAGTGTATGATTGTTCTATTCAGCAAAGGTTAATGTCCACATGTTGAATGTCTTGTTACATTCACAGCACTGATGCCTGACAGTAATGCGACATGACTGAGTATCCTGACTTGTCATCCTCTCTGCCTGCAGTACTAGTGAATGTCCAGACGCTGACACCACATGGCTGCTGTTGTAATCACAACACATCACTGAAATATACACAGCAAGGTAAGAGCAATGGCTAGGGTAAGAATTTTCACTTTTACTTACTGGCATAAGTGGGGTTAACTTTGCAAGGGGGGGCACTTTGGATGCCCTCATTTTCCAGAGGAGAACATTCATTGGGGTTCGGTCATAGTTAACAATGACCAAGACCAAGATGGACTATTACGCACCCTTTTTTTTTCTTTCTCGATATCTTGGGGGAGGGGGCTGTAGTTAGAGCTATTCTTGGTATCTAATTTACTTTGCTATTGCACTCACCTGAAGTATTTGAAGCGGCCTTTGGGTTGTCAAAAGACCACTTCTGCATCAACCCTAGCTTGCTTTCATCTCAAGCACTCTACTGGAGACTATGAGCAAAAATGAGTCTTGAGTCAGGGAATATCAGATTCTTGGATGTCAACCTCTACACTGTCTCAGGTTTAAAAGAATTTATTTTTTGGAGGCCTTGTCTGATTGCACCACCGTGTTGTACATGTTCAGACATTGTTTTGGTGTGATTGATGGATCTGTGCAATTTTTTCATCCTGCTCTGCTGTCAGTTGATTGATCCTATATGAATATCTGTTGATCCTATTGCTATCATGAGTAAAAGTATTATATCCTTATCTTTTCTTCCAATTCAGGGTTCTGGAAAATTTTCGGAAGGGGCATTGAAATCTGGGATTTCGTATACAGATCAGTCCGTTGACTAGAGATGTTTGAAACCATCCATCATTCAGGTGATGTTAATTAAACTGTCGTTAACCAAAGTCATCACTCCAACTTGTCTTGAGTGTACTCACCTTAGCTTTCAACCATCAGGAAGTTAGACATGCATTTTATATCTTAAGCTGGTTGTCAAAGTTTATTGAGAGTGTAAAAAGGTTGGCAAAGTTTTGACGGTTGGACCTCATCGAATTCAAAACCAGAAATGGACTGACGCGTTTCAGTCAAAACAGAAGATAAGCTCGATCTTTCACTGGTGAAGTTGTAATATTACTGGCACATTTTATCCAGTTGTTTTACAGCAAAATGCCTCATTCGTCTTTCCCAACCAGGGTTCACTTTTGTTGCCATTTGTGGTTCTGTTTTCTTATATCAAGTCATTGTGAATCTCCGACTAGAAGAGTGATCATCTATGTTGCATTTCTGTAAGTATTGCAGTAAAGAGACGCATCCATTATGCTTTCATTATAAGCTTGGATCGAGGCAAATGATGAGGAAGTATCTTGTTCATGGATCCAATGTGAACCAGCTGGTGGACTTGAGCGTCTAATCTTCGAGGCATATGTAACCAATCCTAGCTTTAGTCTCAGAAATTTGAGCCTCCAACAATCCTGCTTGAGTGACCAACCCTATCTCTAGTCTTAGCAACATGAACCAGCTGGTGGACTTGAGTCTCAAAACATCCAGGCTTGAATGACCAATCGTAACTCAAAGTTACAGCAGAAGGAACTAGCAGATGGACTTAAACCTCTAACCACCCAGGATTAGTGACCGATCCTTGCTTCAGTTGGAGCAATATGAACAAGCAGGTGGACTTGAGCTTCATACCATCCAGCATTGAATGACCGACCTTAGCTCTAGTCTCAGCAATGTGAACAACGAGGTGGACTCGAGCCTCAAACCATCCAGTTATGATCTGAGTAACCAGTTAAAGCTTTTGAGCCTCTTACGAGACGTTAAGGGAGTTGAAGCTTCAAACCGTCTAAGCCTGAGTGGCCAATCTTAGCTCTGGTCTCAGCATCATAAACCAGCAAGTTGGAATGAGCCTCAATGATCCTCTAGGCTTGAGTGACCAGTCCTAGTTCTTGAGCCTTTTATGAGACTTGAGTGAATTTGAACCTCAGACCATTGAAGCTTCAATCACAAACCCTATCTCTAGTCTCATAAACGGCTGGACTTAAACGTCAAACCATCCAGGCTTGAGTGCCTAACCCTGGGTCTACTCTCAGCAATATGAACCCATCAAGTGGGTTCAATCAATTAAAGAGCCTCAATCCTTCCAGGATTGAGTGACCAATCCTTGGTCTGATCTCGTCCTTATGAACCAGCTGATGGACTTAAGCTTCAAACCATTCAGGCTTGGGTGCCCATTATAGCTCTGCAGCCTCTAACTGGGCTAGAGTGAATGAGGATCAAACCATCCAGGATTGAATGACCAATCATTGCTCTTGTCTCAGCAACATGAACCAGCAGGTGGACGTGAGCCTGACACCATCCAGGATTGAGTGACCAATTCTAGTTCTGGGTCTCATTAACATGAACCAGCTTGTGGACTTGAGCCTCTAACCATCCAGGATGAGTGAGCAATCCTTGAGCTGATCTCAGCTCAATGAACCGGAAGGTGGACTTGAGCCTCAAACCATCCAGGATTGAGTCACCAATCATTGCTCTAGTCTCATCAACATGAACCATCAGCTGGACTTGAGCCTCCAAACCATCCAAGATTGGGTTACCAATCCTTGCTCTAGTCTCTTCAACATGAACCATCAGGTGAACTTGAGCCTTTAAGAACCAAGGATTGAGTGTTCAATCCTTGTGCTGGTCTCAGTTCCATGAACCAGCAGATGGACTTGAGACTCTAACCACAAAGGATTGAGTAACCAATCCTTGCTCTGGTCTTATCAACATGACCCAGCTTGTGGACTTGAGCCTCTAACCATCCAGGATTGAGTGATCAATCTTTGCTCTGGTCTCATCAACATGAACCAGCAGGTGGACTTGAGCCTCCAAACCATCCAGGATTGAGTGTTCAATCCTTGTGCTGGTCTCAGTTCCATGAACCAGCAGGTGGACTTGAGCCTCTAACCACAAAGGATTGAGTAACCAATCCTTGCTCTGGTCTTATCAACATGACCCAGCTTGTGGACTTGAGCCC